TTGACCATTCGAAGTTCTTGAGGAGGACTTGACTGCATCTCCCTGTTTCCCAACCACCAACCTGCTAGAAAATGACCTCTCAGTGTGTAAAGTGTGTACTGCAATCAGCAATTTTGAGTCTTTGCTCTTTTATTTCTCAGTTTGGGGCTCATTCAATTATGGTCATTTCCATGTACCTTGCGGCTTTCCCACAGTGGGATTGCCACAGACAGCTTTCATCTTTCTGGTTACAAAAAATATTAAATGGTTTTAGGACAGTTGTTTAGATTTTTTTTTTTTTTCAAAAGAACAGCTCTGCAGTATAGGAGGCAGCCTACTACAATAAATTAAATTAAATTTTTACACCAAAAAAATAGTATCATCACATTATGTAATCATAATCATAATCATAATCATAATCCTGTTGAATTTTGCGTGAAAATATTTGTGGGAATCAATATAAATGAGCACTGCTCTCAATAATAGATTTTAAACAGAGAAAGGAAAAAGAGAATGTTAGTTGAAAGGGCAATAAAGAAGATTCAGTTTCTTGGCCAAAAAGAGTTTTAGTTTCTGACCCAAAACGAAAAACAAAGAACCTAACAGTTTGTCGTGATTTCTTTTTTAAATATCTCAATGCAGGGCGAGACAATTGACATGTGAAATGAGGTGGTAAGAAGTGCTAGAAACTCAGAAACAGTAAAAGGAAGCTCAGTTTCAGAGGGACCAGATGTGAAACCAATATATATTTTATAAATTTTTCACTTTAACCTCACATCTATATCTTCATTCTTCATCTTGCGTTATGTAAGCACCAAATAAAGAGCAACAGGATTGAGAGAGAGAAGCTCAGCCTCCTGAAGAAACCTAAACATCTTTTGTTCTTTCCCAGTTTCCCTCATATCCCTTATATAGGTTGCTTGTTCTCTGATCTCTTGTGGCATCTTAGGTCAATCTCATTGAGCAGTGGTGATGGTTAGTGTCATCAAGTGAGTGAGATTCACTGAGCCTGAGCTTCAGATCTACTCTGTCTATTTTCTCTCTCACACCCTTTTGCATCATCAAGTTGGTAAACATTCATTCTCAACATCATTTTGAGGTCTCAACAGTCACCAATGACCACGAAGAGAAGAACGTGTTCCTTCATTCTCACGGCTGCTCTTCTTCTATTTACAACTTTGGCTTCACGAGTGAACAAGAAGCCTCTGTCACCTTATGCAGCTGCCACTTCACAAGGTCAGTGCAAAACTTACCACACCATCAATACACATTACCACTGAGTCGGTCATTTTCACAAACACTGGTCCTGCACTGTGAGTGTCTTCACTCTAATTAGTAACTCACCAGTCTCTTTTTTCACTGTCCTTTTCACTTTTTGCAATCACCGACAACATCATATCCTCAAACATTCTATCGATTTTCCACAGTTGATCAGACAAAAACAACAAAATTCGTCCCACATCCGGGTTTTGACTCCACAAAGGTAGCTATCAGTCTCTATGTATGACTAACAATATTTCATTATTTCCTGTCCGGGAACATTGTTTGACGCATGAAATTTCTGCTTTTTACGAAGGGAAACGAAGGAATGGCAAATGGGTATGCAGAAATAGGAAGAGGACTGAGCCGGTTAGGATCAATACCGCCGAGGTGTGAGCACAAGTGTAGGGGTTGTGTGCCTTGTGATCCAATTCAAATCCCTACAACCACAGTTGGGGTTCAATATACAAATTACGAGCCAGAAGGTTGGAAATGCAAGTGTGGCACTTCTTATTATAATCCATGAAATGTTGTTGTTGGTGAAGAGGTCCTTTAGATTTATATGATATTGTGGTGTATAGATCTACATACAAGTATATCGTCTAACCGCCATTAAAATGTTCCTTGGCCTTGATTCTTCTATGCGCAACGCGGAGAGGAAACTGGAAAGATCAGTGGAGAGCAAATTTTCCACATTTTGTTATGACGTTTTTATGCAAGCAAATAGTTTTCCCCTTTTGCCCTTTTCTTCTCAATATTTTGGTATGATTATTAAATTAGACGAGGAAAACTAAACAAATCAACCTGTTTGCATTAATTATAATTATAATTTATAAATATATGGATGTGTTCATTCCTAACTCCGTCTAAGATTTTTTAGGAATTTCATTAATTTTTTCGGTTGGTACAACAAGTTAGATATTTATTAGAACATTTAGAATCAATTATATGAATTTTGAATAAATCAATAACATGAAAAATGTTTTGATCTAAAGTCTAAACATTTAATTACATTTTAAGTAGACACTTTTTTAGAAGTTATGATTTATTCTCAAGAATGTGGTATCAAGCTGAACCAAATTAATCAAGTCAACTTTGTGGGGCTAATTTTCTATGCATGCTCAACTTTTATTTTAATTAAACGCAACTCAACGTTTTGGCACCCACCAAAAAAAGTCAACCTAATTTGATGTGATCGTATCTGATAAGTGACAATGGAATTAGGCCGGCGGCCAGGCACGTTACGACTAATTAATCAAACAATATATATATACTCTTCCATTTTAAATATAAAACTTTTTATGTAAATATATATATACTCCTCCAGTCTCAAATATAAGACCATTTTTATAAATTATTTACATTAAAAGGGTCTTATATTTGGGACTTGGAGGAGTATATATATATCACTCTCTATCTCATATGGTTATTTTCAAAATTTCACATGCAAGGGAAAATATATGAAGTTTATTACAAAAAATAAGATGACATTATCTTACACAGTTTATCAGTTTGATCTGAAATTTAATGTTCTGAATGATCCCTAAACCTTTGGACTTCCAAATAACGTTGGTTGTCTGCAGGTGGGTCTGAATCACCCCAGTGTAAGCTGATCTAAATTAAACTCATAATTCCCTAAACTCTTACTTTATATCAAGCTCTAATCTTATGAAAATATTCATCTTTCTAATCCTAATGGCTCAAATTTACTTCAGAACCCAAAAGCATGGTCTGCTTTGATTTGATCTTGTCACATCAAGGTTTTTTTCCAAACCCCACAGGCTTTAGATAATCATAAATTTTGTAAATAATACTAACTATAAGTAATGTTGATTAATTATGATTTCTATTTAGATATGTTTTTTTATAAGTGACTTTATCAATTGTGATTATGTTTAGTTTTTACCTATTAAAATCACTTATCAATGTATAATTACCCAAAAAAATGAATTTAATAAACATCAAATATAATCCTTTGGGAAGAGATTTTTGAAACTGTGGAAGGATAAATTAGAGAAATTCAGTTGATAAAAATTGATTAGAATTATTCAAACACACCAGTGACTCTTTGATGCTTATCCTAGAAATGTGATGAAAGAATAAAATTACAATTTAACAGGATTTTATAAAAATTAAATATATTTTATAATCATTTATTTACATTCAAACGAACTTATTTGATAACCAAACAGGCACCTAACATTGTCCTAAAAAAAATCATCGCACGACAAAGGATAACAAGGGAAACTACACTCTTCTTCAAACTGTCACTTCATGGATCTTACCCTCTTTGTTCCTCTTGTGTACACAAGCTTCTCAACTGAAAAGAAACGCGAATAGTTGCACAGGAATTCAAAATTTCACATTCATCGAGTATGAAAGTTACAAAGAACCTAGACAAAGTTTGTCACCTCAACGAGCACGCTTTGTCACAAGAATGAAACAGGACTCAGATCCCTCATTATGATGAATCAAACATTTCACAAAAAGAAAAATAAAGAACTGTAGCAGAAACCATTAAGTTCAGCACAATCAAAAGAGGATGGAAAGAAATATGAAGTGACAAGGGTTGATTAATATTACTTCATAAACATGTCACCTATAATTGTTACAACAGTGAACACAAGAGACACGATTTATCCAATGAAAAGCTTGAAGAAAGGTAAAATGGGGCATAAAGGACTTATACATAACGGAGAGAAATGCAGCTGAACATGTTATCAGGAAAATTATCTGGGTAATAACATTCAGCTGATAACATTTATACTTGGTTTGCAGGGACAAATTGATTGGTATAAGAGTTGATTGTTGACTGTTTCGCAAAAGAATGCATGCAGAGGGTCTAGATCAGTGGGGGATTTTGAATGGCAAGCAGAGTGAAGTGTCATATATGTATCCACCAAAACACTGGCCCTTTAAGGGTGGCCAGATGATGGAGACTATATACGCATTTCGAAACAAGTTTGAGATGGTTCTATTAAGCAAGCACAAATAAGCACTTGCCATTATAATAGCCTTTAGCCAAAAGCAATAATCCTATGATTTATCAATTTTCCATGGACAGTAGAACTTATCTATTGGTTCACGCCTTAGTCAACAATTCATGGCTGAAATATGAAAGGCCAAAAACTTGGCTGGCAAGCTTGTTACTGAGAATAGGGAAGCCTAAGGGATGCATATTAATAAACCTGAAACTATTTGTTAAGGGTAAAAAATACTCTGAAAACTGTATTGAGACCCTGCACAGTATTCAACCACTTCCAAATTCACTGACTAAAAATGCAATAGCAAGTTACTCTTTGTATCTTAGTAGTGACTTATTTTCTAGCAAAAGGCCCTGAACCTCCAGAAAATACCTCATCTAACAACAGCAATATCTTCGTTTCCCAGCCACAACATTACTGTGCATAAAAGTGAAAAAAGAGAATCTCACAAAAAGAAGCTTAATTACTAAATCTCAAATAAAGAATTCCTACAAAAATGAGCTGAGTATTGTCAAATCCCATTAAAGTGTGAATCTGATTTGGGATTTAGTAATTTCAATCTTCTTTTGAGAATTCTCCCAAGTAAAAATGCCATAGAAGACCTTAATAGGAGGATTACAAGGTCCATATTTATCTTGAGTCACATTGGTTAATGTAGTTACATAATCAACATTTATGGATAACAACGAAAGCATTGGTCTCAATAAAACAATTGGACACATTTCTCTAGGCAATGCAGCAAAGCTTCAAGTCTAAGGCAAGAGCCAGAGTTCATGATTTGCAAATAATGCGAAATAGATTTTATTAAATATATAGATTGATTGATAATGAACTAATGTGAGAGGAAATTGGCCTCCACAAAATACCGTCACACAGCCATGCCTTACGGGAGCAATCAAGATGATTACCCTCTTAATACAATCCAAGGTGAACACTTAAAATTCATAATTTATCAACTGCATTACATTACATATTTGTACTTGAAGACTCGGAAATAACTGTGATCAGTAGATAAACAAAGATATAATATAGCCAATTGCCGGATTCATACTTATTTTCAAAGATCAAAACACCACCTGGGATCCTCAGAGTTAGCAAGCACTACCATCCATACACAACTCTAGTGTACCTGTCCTTGAGCCACTTGAAGCTCTTCCTGAAAGACCCTTTCAGTTTACCTTCAACAGTATACACCTTGTAACTAGCGACCCTCTTTTTCCTCTGCAACTCTGGATCACTGAAGCTCCAGCTCTTCGAAGAGGAACTGTTAGTGGACTTGCCTTTCTTGAACTTCACATCGTTGAACCCAATCTGATTTTGGGTGGTCGGAGGAGGAACAGAGGATGCATATGAAGCGCTGTAGCACCGGAGGTCTTGCATGCCATGGACGCCGCAGGCGGAAGCGGTCCCGCTCCTGCTGTAGCTCTCAATTTGCATCCTCCCATCAGCGTACGATTTGGATCTAAAATCTTCCATGGAGAACCCCAAAATTCAAAACCCTCCGGCCTAAGGAGGGGCAAGATTCTACCTTTTGCAAATGGGGTTCCGTGAAAGCAGCTTCAACTTCGCTTTGTTTGGTATGAAGTTATTTCGGATGAGAAAATTTTATTCAACTTTGACTTTCAGGAGGGCGCTTTCTGGAAAGGTTTTGCCTTTCGCGTCGGTCATGTTCCTCACACATAGAGAAGAGTACTTTGTCGTCTAGTTAATTGTTTATCTCTACTCTCCTATTTTATTTCATAAAAAATACTAATTTTAAAATGTTAATATTCAATTTCATTTTGAATTTTATATTTAAAATTATATATGTGGGATTAAAATTGATCAAGCATCTTCAAATATTTTGTTAGATGTCCTAGCATCTTAATTTTTGTATTAAAAAAATGATGAGAGTAAGGAAAGGAGAAAAGGAGAATTGCAATAATAATCTGAGTAATATATAATAACAAGTTTTAGAATATATTTTAATTTAATTGCTTTCTTATTATTAAAAATTTTAATAATTATTTTTTCAGAATCTGACGGTAATTTTTCCTTCAGAAAACTGATGACGAAGGTTTTCAACTTGTTTTTGGATGGTACAGCTGGACCTGTTTTGACTTTTGAGGCTTCTCATGGTTAATGGATGAGGTGGTGTGTTTTAATGGTGACTGATGAGGGGGTGCCCAGGAAGGAAGCTGTGGGATGTGAGTGGTCATGCTAAGGGTCAGATTGAATCTATTTGGATCTTTGGGCAATGTTTCTCGTTCTCTACTTTCGGGCAGCAAAGGGGGTTGTGTCTGTGGGATTGGATAGTTGCAAAAGGCTTGCTCATCCGGTTCTTCTCCTACTGCTATAGATTGAAAAGAGAGACTAAGGGGGTGTGAAACCAATCATGGTTTCACGAAATTGTGGAGGAGATTACCTCATTTTACGGAAAAGTAAACCATTAAACACCCCCTAACAGTCGGAAACAGACCGTTTAGTTTTTTTACAACATGGGGAATCAAAGTTTAAATTCTCATTGGAAGAGATTCACATACTTTTTTTTTTGGACCAGAGAAATTCACATGCTTAGTACTTGATAGTATTTCGAATAAAATTACCTCTGAATAAAAGATGTTACGTGTATAAAAAGAGAAAAACACAGATACTGAAGGCTCGCGTCATCCGGTTTATGTTATCTTGCCTTTGGTTCTTACTGTTTAGTAATCATTTCTCTTTTCTTCTGTACATTCTGGGTTTTTCGTTTGATACTGTTTCAGTCATGAATGAATTTTATCCTGGAGAATTCTTGAATTTAAGGGGTGAGTTTATTCGGCTACAATTTAAAAGAAGGCCATTATATAAGAGATACTTAATACAGGATGTGGATTTATTTAATTTCTTAATTACCCACATGATAAAGAAAAGGGAAACATGGAATGAGCCTTGCTTTGGATCTTTATTAAATACGAACCCCTTTTATCACTCTGTATACTTGAGTGAGCAATTGAGATTGAAAGGACCCTGATCTCTATGCACACTTTATGATTTTATTGTTCCTGTCAATCTCGTTAGGGAACCACCTAGTTGAGTCAGAGATTTGATATCTTTCACATAGGATTTTGAATTTGAATAATATAAATAAAAAAAAGTCATGCTTGAAGAAATTTTTTCCCCGACGTAATGAATTCCACTCTTTACATTTGAAAAAATAGTAAAAATACTGTTAAAATAAAATAGACTAAAACGATAAAACGCTTTAAATTGGCAATTGCGATGTATTCCAATCGGGCTTTTTAGGTTCAAAAAACAAAAATCCAAGATTGAACTCACTGGTATAACTCGACTTTTCCCGTGGTTTAAACGTTACTAAAATGAATTTGCCCAGCATTTTGCATGATTCATATTTGTAAATAAGGTGAAAATTATTTTCCCGCAACATGCAGATGCAGTAATACATAAACTGTCCTATAACATGTCACCGTTATTTACAAATGGTGATGAATGAAAACCCCTGGCACAGCCACTTTAGTTCTTTTTACCTTCAAAAGTGCATGCGTGCATATATAAGCAGAAGTGTCAAAGCAACCTGAGTTCAGAAGAAATGCTGCGGAGATCAAAAGATGAGATAACTCCAAAGAAGCTTCAAATTACATAGAGCCCAGAGCAATGATATATTGAAAATAGAGAACAAAAGAGGGCCACAGATCTAAAATTATTGCTCTTTGAAGTGGAAAACTCATCATTAACATGCATGGAATACTAAGCTTAGTCAATTCCCTTGTTCCGGTTCAACAGGTCATGGTAATATAACAGTACGCACATAGGTTGACCAAGAATACTAAATATGAACCAGAAAACCATATTTCCAACCTGCAATGAAGAAAACGATAACAATGAATAAAGTTGACAATAATTAAATCACAGATATGTGTGCCTATGATATGAACCAAAATGACTATAAATAGGAATCATGAACATACCATAGAGTTTGTAAACTTATTTTGCAGATAATTGGTGATCATGACTAAAGGAACCTAAACAGGCAGAAACACAAATACAAGTGTCAAGAGAAACTAAAACACTGATGGTATCATAACCAATAAAAAACATACTACATCTGGTCCCAAATATAAAATCCACTTTGGGTTTTTATTTAGGACCAGAGGTAGTATAATCTAGCAAAGATTCAATAGTAGGGAAAACAAAGCTTCTTTGGTTTGGGCAATGGAAGAAAAGAGATTGAAATGGCTTCATCTTTTCCTGTCAAGAGTAAGTAGTTGTGTTTGGGGGAAAGGGGGTAGAAGGAAAAAAATTACATTATGCTTCTTTACCTGAAACATGATTCCAATAAAAGCCCACAACTTAAATATGTGGCAGGGAACGGCAATGCATAGCTGCACCTCGGATGAAACGGTAATCATGAGCATAATCAATAGCTTTCTTTAAAAACAAAATAGTTAGTAATGCTTGGATAAATGTTTCATTTGGGAGGAAGGGGAACTAGAGTTCATAATAGAATTAAGTAAAACATGAATAGGAAATAGACTCAACCATCCGGTAATAAGTGATTGTTGATGAAAACCAAGTGTGGTTTTGGCTTCAGTATTATGACTTTGTCCTTCTATCACTGCCATGACATAAAATCTGCCATCCCTCTTTTTCTATTTTTCAAATTGGTTTTTGTCTTTTTCCATAAACCTTTTCTACCTAGAGTCTTTAATCCTCCAGCCAAATACAACATGAAAACAAAAAAACGGCAGAAAATAAAGAAATTGAAAGAAGAAAGTAGGATAAATAAAATATGTCAGCAGCTTTATCATCTGCACGATCCTAGTTACATGCCATAAGGCACAGGAGTTGTTGGTGTTGCTAGATAAAGTTGTGAGGTATGGACTGATAAAAAAATAATTAATAAGTAGTGTCGAGTGGTAATTTCTAACCAATGAATCATAACTTTGTCTCTAATTCTGATCCTCTTCCCATCACCCGACCAGGGTAACGGATTTTTTTTTTTGGGGGGGGGGGGGTGTGAATAGTAAAGTGGTAAAGCAATGCAAGCTCTTGCCAGCTCTTGACATTGCATCGGGCAGACAAGCAGAATAGCCTCTCAACATACGGTCAAAAGAGGGAGAGAAAGATGAACCATACCTCATGGAAGACAGCAGAGACAAAAAATGAAACCAGAACCGCAACACCCTGGACAACATTGACTATATACTTAAAAATCATAAAAATAGATGGGCAAAAGAGCAAAGAAAGATGACAAGGTTGTAACAACATGGAGAAAACAAATTAATTTGGCTGCTCTCCTATGCTTGTTTAACCACGTGAAATATGATCAGTAGGGAATATTATTTGAATCTGTATATTTTTCTGTTTGGATTAAACAGTAAACATTTTCTAAATCAATGTGATTAGAGAATATTATCTATACTTTAATTCTTCTAACATATGAAGAAAAAAAAAACCAGTGGTGCATCAAAAGACATATCACATCATGCTTTACAAAAAATATATATATTATCCATTTCAATTCAATAATAACCAAAACAAATGGGATAAGAAAACCTGAGATGGTAAACACAGGTTGACTATGTTTACAAGAAAAGCTTTTCAGACAAATGGAAACGTGTCTGAAATCAAAGTCCATACTGTAAGCTGAAGAATAACAGGTCACCTTGGGTATGCCATTCCTTAAGCATGGAAAATATAAATGGCGGACCATCCATTTGTGCACGGGCTACAGTCAGAAAGAGTTCCCTCAGTTATATAGTACTGGATTAGAATGGTGCCACAAAATAACTATTGCATGTGCTATCAAGGTTTTAGAATCATTCATTGAGAGGTAGATGGTTCGGAGGTGCAACTTTTCTTCATTTTATTGTTAACAAAGCCTTCAATAAAAAGTTGCTGTCCCGGTTGAGTTTGTGTTTAAAACCAAAATTTTCATTTAGCCTTGATTTATTATAAGACAGGAAGCAAGACTTGCAATTTTTCAAAGTTTACAATCAAAATGAACATTGAAGTACTTAAAAACAACATCGTCAAGATCAAACTAGATTAGTTAAGCTCAAATGAGCTACATTTAGAGAGTATTAGGCTTAACGTGCAACAAACATAAAGAAACAAATCAACTAGAAAATACATTGCTATCTGTCTTTAACATTATCAAACATTTAAGAGCACAGAAACATACCATATTCCACATTCGCCAATACTGATGACAGCAGCAGAGCAAATCCATGCAACAAAGACAAATATGTCATTTCCTTTGAGGAACAAACATCCAATGAATATTTTATGACAAAGAACCTACTTCTTCAACAGTTTGGGCATTCCACCAATCTTTATAGAATTCACGATCACCAAATCGAAGAAGCTCCGCAAGTATATTTAACCTGCATTGCAACATTTCCCCTAAGCATAAAATGTCTCTGAAAGAAATCAAAGTTGTGGCATAGTTTTAAGTGGAGATTTTGTGATTGCTAGTGCATCTGCTCCAAAAGCTAAGCATGTTATTATAAACTACAATCCTTCAAAAATACAGGAGAGAAGACAGTCATTGCATGAGGTAGTACAAACATAAAAAGATAGAGAATACAAACCAAAGGTGAAAAAAGCAGTAGAACATGCAGAGCCACACGTATAAATTTGGAACAGACAGCTTCAGAACTCTCTCAATGGCATATAGAAGGTTTCCCTTCAAAGGATGTTGAGAATTTTGAACAATTGGATTAATATACTGCAAAGTTATATCATTAAACCAATGTCAGAATATTTTTAAAATTACAGGAATGAAACTAGAGAAAAAGGATGAGGTACACAAATTTATAAAGAATTACCGCTTACTTGTTCTATTATGAACCCCATGACTCCAGTAAATATTATCAGCTTAACAACTTGGCGAAACACCCACTGCTTACGTATGGAAGGCGTGCGAGGATAACTTGGCTGTAACAACAATGCATTGAATTGCATTGGAGATAACACAGTGGAATGTATGTGAGTCAGAATTATGTTAGAACATTTACTCCTGTAACAAAACTCGTTGACAAATGCAATCTATATGCATGTCTTGGGTACAGATAAATGTAGAATCAAGTCAACAGCAGAAATTCATTAATTAAAAGAAGGTATCAAGAGCAAATTGCTGGGAAATGCATACTGTAATTCTTTTCAAAGGACAAAAACTAAAATAAGGAAAAACAAGCTCAGATTACTGGAGACTGTATAATTTATTTATAGGCCTGTAGTGTTGGGGTTTGTGTGGTGTTGTGTTGTGTTGTGTGTGCGCGTGGTTTTTTTTTTTTGGGGGAGGGGGGTGTGGAGCACTTTTGGTGGAAATGTAGTCAGCGAAAACTGAAAAAATTTATCCATGACACCTTTAGCGTATAGGTACATGGTCCGTGTAAGTCACAAAACTACTGTAATTACTAAGATAATAGCCATATCATAGTCAGCATGTACTTATATACCGACATGGTGCACATGATTTTGCGCAAAAAGTGATGCCAGAACAGACTTTATTTGAAAATCCTACATGCATTCCAAGCCAAAGATATAGGTGTAAAAATATTAATATGATAATGCCACTCATCCATTCCATGAGCAACAATAGAAGCAAATATGCACAGCAAGTCAAAGTCAAATGTGAAGGAGGAACAAAATTTGTTGTCCTAATATATATTATATTATTTAGAAGCGCCAATACCTGGTAACACAATGTAGGAGCAACCATGAAGTACACCAAGCTCTTGAAGCTTACGGTATAAGAATACTCCATTTTCAGGTTATTGGGTGGCTCTTCTCCCTATAGCACAGTTAACATTTTGGATAAGGGGAATAAATTTATCCACTACTCACCAAAAGGAAGAGATTATTCTGATACGTAAGCATTCAGAAATACATTATGGCATGGCATGTGATGATGTTTTAGTGGTGCAGGAATCCAGTACGGTTTGATCATGCTGGACTAGAAGGGATAAGAAAAGATGACATGATAAACCACATATTTTCATCTTAAATATTATTTTTCATTTTGCAGAAAACAGCATTCTGTTATGGTTATCTAGAAACCAACAAACAGAAACTTTGATGGTACCTTTTCAATTGATTTGCTCAGTGCTCTTAAATCACTGTTTGTATGCGCATAAGATACCAGTTTTAACCACACAATGCAAGCAAATAACATCAGTGTGACACCCGATAGAAAGGCAGAATTACACCTGCAAGGGGGAAAAAAACAAATAATTACACTACAGCCCATCAATCATTTGGGCAAGTACATAAATCCAGGATAGTCTTATTTTATTTTTTTTTTTTTCAGGTGATTAAATTCAATATAACTTGTTATCATCAGGTAGAGGCCTTCACCATATCCCCAATAGAGCAAATCAAACAAACAGGCACACATGAAGCCTTTAATCGGGTAATCTTGTTTGGTATGCAAGCAAGGAATTTGAATGATCTTGTGGCTGTTTCAGGATCTGTAAATGTCACGCGGATATTAAACAAACCCATTCAGCATCAGATATGACTTCATATATTGTTTCAACTGGTCACACCGTTGGTCCAAAAATAAAAAACTGGCCGTGCTGCCTCTATACACCGATAAGGATAACGAAGCAACTTAATTGTTTCCAATTTTTGGGGTCGACTTATCCATATATCTTTCAAACAATAATTCATCAAAAAACTGTGTATCCCTTCTTATATACTGCAATGACAATTCATCTGAAGTTCTCCCATTGAACCAAGTTTCCTAATTAGAACAAATTTGCCAACTTACACTCACTTCCAATACGCAAACTAAAAAAGAAAAGTTTAAATTAGAGCTCTAGAATCTATTTTGAACTTAAAAGGAAATAAATGTATGGACCTGAGGATTACTAAGACTGGATACAAGACTGCAGCGCTTGTAATGAATATATGAAGTGAGATAATAGCCTGCAACATTAAAGCCAATATTCCAAAACGTACGTAGTGAAGTTAGGATGGGATATTGTGATGGGAGAAATGACACTGCAAACTGACCATATTTAGAAAAAGCAACAAGTCATATGACAGAAAAGGAATTCATGTGGTGGCAACATCTATTTCCTGTGTGATACGACACAAGCTTACTTGCGCACAAACTTACTGGTTCAGATATTTTCTTCCGTTGGGCAAGAATTTCCACCAAATATGAAGCAACTGGAAATATTGCAAGTGTAAGACTGCAGAGGAAGCACAACTTCAATAACATTTTAAGAAATGATCTTCAACAAATTATTCAATGGATATTTATTATTTAGTGCATTAATTAAAATCATTACCAACACATGAAGAGTGGCCAATCTCTCAAGGATTTTGAGCTAAACCAAAAGCCAGACTTAATCAACCAACCATACTGCCCAAAAAAAAAAAAAACTGCATTGAGCTCTGAGGAAAAACTCTGAAGATTAATGATCAATATACACCAGTATGAATATCAAGGATAAGAATATGTGGAAGAGTCAAACCTTCATTAAATTCTCAATTATAAGTCTGCTGTTCACAGCAACAAGCACTACTATACAGAGATTTAAAAGGCCCGCATGACTCTGCAATCAATGATTAAGAAAATATCAAACATAATTATTTGAAGATAAGCAACAGCAGCCCAAATGATGACTCATAGGAAACTAGGCTGTAAAACATGGCTTTCCCCTGATGGATAACAACTTCTACACAAAGAAACAACTACCACACTGCCATGCTTCCAACGGCATAAAGCCATCAAAGGAGTAACTTAGTCAAGCATAGGAGCTAGTTTTGGAAATCTATTCATGCGTTGGAACTGTTCACCATCGTCCATTACGCCGTCAAAACGGTATGATGAATAACAGCTCGGTGGAGTGAAAACAAGAAAGCCGAACTATTTTTAACGAACATTAAAGCCAATGAAAACTGCTCTCAACTAAACCGTTGACCCTCAACTTAACCCGAACCGTTAGTTCTAACATAAGAACCAGGGCGAGAATTAACTGCCACAACCTGATGGAAAATTGTATCTGAGCTGAGCGGGCTTTCCTTCACTGCTCGATGAACCGGAACCGAAGGACGGTAAAGGAACTTCAGCGCGGAGACGTCCACCACTTTTTCTCGATTCGTATTAACAGCAGCGTTGTCCATATTCACACGATCCTTATCTTCTCCCTCACCGCTCTTGGAGGCGGCGGAGACGAAATCCTTAGAGCCGGAATCACTAACCATATCTTCCGCAGGAATGTCCCGTTGCAGCGACGAATCGTCAAAGAAACCTCCGACGGATGGCCTCCGTCGCAAAATAGAGCGACGTAGGGTGTCCCAATCGTTCTTGGAGCCACCGGTGGCGGCCTCACTCTCAAGCACTTCTGATTTCGCCATCGGCGAAGAGGAAACAACCATCACTACTACCAACCAAAGAATTTGTTTATTAATTTCTCATTAACATAACCATCACAGAACTGAAAAGAAGTGTGATTACTAACTGAAAATGGAGGGAGGGAAAGAACTTATATTAATATATAGATATATATAGAAAGGTTAGGTTGGGAATCGCGATCTTGATTAATAAAGAAAGGGTTTGGAAGTTAGAAGGGGATGAGAAGAGAGACAGTAGAGGCTATTGTAATGATGAGGATCTGGTTCGGGTTTTTGAGAACTGCGAGTTCTGGATTCTGTTCGGAGGAAGGAGGGAGAACTTCGTTGACAGTTGACACGTAACTGAGACTACTTCAATTTTAGACCTTATACTCGTATTAGTTTTTGCATAAAAAGTTACGAAAGTAAAACTTGTAAAAAGAAACTAATACTTCCTCCGTGCCTTTTGGGTCCCGACAGTAACAATTTTTTTAGGGCTCTTGTTCATGTGTTCAGGTTTAATATTATTCTTTTAGTATATTCAATACAATTAATATTACTATCTTCACTCCTAATTATAAAAACTTAAATGAGATTTTATAATTAGAAACAGAGATAATATTATCTAATTATATTTAATATTCTAACTTTATACGTGACTCAAAACCTAGATGCACTATAAATAAGATTGTTAGAAAATTAATAAGATTATAATATTGGGAAATAAGGGTATAACATGCTATTTTACTCTTTTTTAATAGGTTTGGTTTTATAAGTTATTATTTTAAATATGTTTGAAATTTTAATACATTTTTTTAGTTTTATCCCTAATTAATTATATATCTTCACATTAACTATACCAGTTTCCTACTCATCTTCTTTCTTACTTACGCTTCTTGATAAATAAAAGTAAATTTTAAAAAGTAATTTCTCATATACTTATTATCTTTAATTAATTTTAACTATTTTAAAAAGCTATGCATTGTTCGGATTTCAAATTTATATAAGTAACACATTAAATGTGAAAATTATAATTTAGGACCCTTGAAAGGGCGTTATTATTGTTTTTCAAGACCTTAAATGTGAGAAATTAATGATAAAACAAAAAAGTTCAAAGGTAAAGAAAAATGCGTCTCTCTTGACTATTCATTGTTGACGAAAACGACATCAGTTAGGATTAACTATCCATTGTCAACGAAAACGACAGCTTTTGGGATTTTCATTTTATGGTATCTTGGTCCTTCATTTTAGGGTGTGTTTGGTACGAGGGATTTGGAAGGAAGGAAAGAGAAAGAGAGGGATTTTAATCATTTTTTTTTGCTTAGCAACACACAAATTTTAGGAGAAGCCTCCCCTCCCCTGCTCTCTCCTCAGCAACCTCCCCTCCAAAATTCGAAAGATTTGGAGGAAAAGGACAATATTTTATTATGTTGTAACCATTATATCCATATTTTGTCATGTTGTAACTATTATGCCCATATCTTACATAAAATAAGAGTAAAATTGTCCATATCAAAATATTTTTCCCTCTCCTCCCTCTTTTTTTTATAAATCAAAACAAGATAATATTAAAATCCTTCTACTCTCCTCCTCTTCCTCTCATTGAGCCAAATATGCTCTTAGAAACTCTATTGCCGTCTAATCCAAATTCTAGGAACAAGTGGATTCCCTCCATTGCTGTGATGCTAGCGCCATCTACACCATTGAAGCTATCTAACGGAACAAATCTGTAGTTAATTGATTGATTTATTTATTAATTAATTACGGAGATACGGGATCAGATAATACTTACGATTCTGTGAGACTGTGACCAAGAAAATTTTGGAGCATTCCATCTGTGTTCGCCGCGCTGGAGGGGATCCTGGGGAAGTAAGTGAGGAAAAATAGGAAATCCCCGTTATAAGTTTACCAGCCATCTTCTCCATACATAAAATTTAATGGCAAAGGACCACATTAATTTTTTTTTTTTTGGACCAAGACCACATTAATTAATGACAACTTAGTTTTCCAAAACAAATCCCGCACGAAGTTGCGACTATTTATTTAATTGGTTGCAGATATGAGATCCTCAAGGACAAATATGAAACATGTGATAATGATTCATGAGACCTGAATATTTAATTTACCACCGACATTTTGAAATTTACATTACAATTATCTAAAATTATATTTACAGCTTATTTTTAACCTTCTTTTAATCTCATTAATATTGTGGGCCAATTTATTTGAGATTATAATAATCATTTTAGTCAGGCTAAACATGATAAAGTTCATGAAAGCAAGAAGACGTTATTAGGAGAACTTAATTTTAACACAAGAACGTGCTGAAATAAATTTATATTGATAAGCTATTTAAAATAATTTAAACGCTTAATTTAACTCAAATCACCTTTTTTGGGGGGAAAAATTAACGAATAGGTATTATTCTTGCCAAATCCAAGGATACCTCTGCAAACCCAACGAGTTCTACAAAATAAAAACTACCTTTATGTATGCTACATTTCTATAAAAACCTAAACAATTGAGGAAAAAAAAATTGCCGGTCAAAACGTAATTATAGCCATAAAGATGGGCAATAATCAATCTCCACAATGCAAGAATCATCTCGAGGACATTAAGACGAGTGAATTAAAATTAAATTACTAGAGGACATTTAAATAAGGTTTAGAAGTAGAAATTGAACAAGAAAAAGGGAAGAAAAGAAAAAGAAATATTACATAACACTTACCAAACAGAATCCAACTATGCTCTAATACTAAGGCAAGACAAAATCTCATTAGAGGAGTTCAGCAACATTTGATGGCAGCTCCTCTATTACCACATTATAAAACCTCTGGATGTCAAACAGCATTCTTTCATCATCCTTTGTCACAAAGTTGATGGCAACACCTTTTCTCCCAAACCTACCACTACGACCAATACGATGGAGATAGTTCTCAGGCTGGGTCGGGAGATCATAGTTGATAACCAGGGACACTTGCTGGACATCAATGCCACGTGCCAAGAGATCCGTTGTAATCAGAACACGAGAAGAACCAGATCGGAATTCACGCATGATAATGTCTCTAGTGTTCTGGTCCATATCTCCATGGGTTGCTGACACTGTGTGGTCTCGGCTTCGCATCTTGTCAGTGAGCCAATCAACCTTCCTTCGGGTGTTCACAAAAATGACACTCTGAGTGATAGCCAATGTTTCATAAAGATCACATAACGTGTCCAGCTTCCATTCCTCTCTCTCTACGTTGACATAAAACTGCTTTATACCCTCCAAGGTGAGCTCATCACGCTTCACAAGAATCCTAACAGGTTTGTTCATAAATTTCCTCGTGATTTCCAGGGCCTCAGGAGGCATTGTGGCAGAGAAAACTCCCACTTGAATTTTACTTGGCAGCAACTGGAATATATCGTAAATCTGAAAACAGCAAAACCAAACGTTAACTGCTAAAGAACCTTGCATACACCGATATAGGGAAAACATTATTTAAAAAAAAAAAGTGCTGGAATTCTAGAGCCAACATTTAATTATACCTTCAAAGCTGACTAATAGCACAAAGGAATGGTCAAATAACAACCAAAACTTACTCTGGAAGGGTTTTATACACAATATATAACAGTTTAATGTAACATTGAAAATGAAGATGAAGTTAAAGAAGGACCTGGTCTTTGAAACCTCTGGAAAGCATCTCATCAGCCTCATCCAATACAAACATCTTGATGTAGTCTGGCCGAAGTGACTGCCTGCGCAGCATATCAAATACACGGCCAGGAGTACCAACAACAACATGAACACCACTGGAGAGAATGCGTTGGTCTTCACGGACACTGGTTCCTCCCACGCATGCATGTACCTTTACACCAAGGTAATCTCCCAGTGCTCGCATAACCTTCTCAATTTGCTGAGCAAGCTCTCGAGTTGGTGCTAGAACCAAAGCCTGGCATTCCATCAAACCATATTCAAGTTGCTGCAAAATTCCAGAGCAAAAAGTTGCTGTCTTCCCTGTTCCAGATTGAGCTTGTTGAATCACATCAAGTCCCTTACAGAAGGGAACAATTCCCCTTTGCTGAATGGCTGACGGCTTCTCAAAACCTACAGCGTAAACAAATTATTATAGAAATTTAAATTTAAATTTAGACAAACAAATATGCAGCGAGAAAATAGCCAAATGCAACACATCAATGTAAGGCCAAATCAAGACAAATACCACGTCTGCAATCATATTGGGGAAGGAAAATTAAATAGCATAGAAAAGAAGCAAGCAAGAGTTCAGAATGACAAACAATCTGATCAGGAAAATTGAGAGGAAATAGTGAAATCAATCTTAGGACTAAGCAGAAAAGAAATAAAAATCAGGAACAAAAGGGAATAGTAATAACCTACCGTATGCATAAATGCCTCTCAGGAGATTCTCCTGCAAGCCCATAGCGTCAAAACTATCATAAACCTCATCATAAGAAGCAAAGAAGTCCTGCCCATCAGCTGAAAGTCTGAAATCAACAAATTACCACTATCAAGTAGAGATTATGAGCATTCTATTGCAATGATTCACCCAATTGTAAAGAGGCAAATCATAAATGAAATCCTGATTACACAAGTTTGTAACTAGTTAAAGGACAATAGTTCTTACAATTCACTCATCTTGGCATCGAATTGACGAGCATCAAACTGTGAACCCTCAGGTACTGTTCCCGCCATGACTACAAGATGCAAAGAATTATTTATACCACATAAGTTATGGCAGTGTAAATGCGTAGGCCAAGCGCCAGTATAAAAACGAAAACACCAGCATGGACGAATACAGTTGACACAAAACAAAACAAAAAAAATCTAAATCATCAGGAAAAATTTGAAGGAACGTTAAAAAAGAACCATTGTCTGACAACCTAAGTATCCATAACTACCAAATAATAAAAATAAAAGTGTTCCAAAGTGAACGGCAGGTCATGGCTCCTAACAAGTAAAAAGAAAAGAATAAGGGATGCAGCAAAATACGCCCAGCACTTTCATATAAGAGAGACGTCAATCGCAACAACATATTACGCAACCTACCAGTCCAGCTCCTCACCAAATACCTTCACTTTTAAGTAACCTACTGCCTAAATACAGACATCGATGCCAGTATGATTATCTTAAAAAACATGGATTCACTTATACTATTTAGTGGGAAGCGGATAAAGGAGAACGTATTTTTACAGATTCATAAAAGATTTACTTTACTACTTTTAGGTCACTATCAAATGAGCTAATCTGAAAACGAAGGAGTTCAAAAAGGTTGAGTATCAGGCCAGGAAATGGGATAGAGTAAATTG